AAATAGGGCCCTAAGAGAAGTTGTCGGGGAGTAGCCACGGTGCGGCGTCCTCCACCCGGCAGCCACGGTGCGGCGTCCTGCACCCGGCAGCCACGGTGCTGCGTCCTCCACCCGGCAGCCACGATGCGGCGTCCTGCAGCCGGCAGTAGCTGTCAGTCATCTAACAGGAGCCGCGGAGCTGCAGCTGAAACTGAAAGTAACGCAGGGAGGAAAATCAACCCAGCATCCAACTGAAGGCTCACAGGAAACCAGAGCCTGTCATGTTTAAACTAAGGCACACGGACGGATTTCTACGGTTAGGAGGGAAAACAACGGCCGAATGATCAGTTAGAATGATGCTGATTTTGAAAACGACAGATTTACTCCGAGGTCCCGGGTGTTAGGGATTATGTGTTGGGTGTTGGTTGTTAGGGGTTAGGGTGGACACATACAGTAGGTGGAGGAAACGTAAACTTAACTGAAATAGTTTACAACATTTAAGTAAGAAAGAAAGTCACTTTCGGCTTTTCCCGTTTAGGGGTCGCCACAGCGATTCGTCACACTGACTACTCCCATGTTGACATTTGGCACGTGTTTTACGCCGGATGCCCTTCCTGACTCAACCCTGATTCGAACCCGGGCCTTAACCACTAACCTAGTTTACAACATTTAAGTAAAGTATAAAAATTGAAACTGTTATGTTCTTTTCCTCATGTTGCTTGTCTTTGGCTTTAATTTTAGTTTTCTTCTGTTTTGTACAGTGTGAAAACCAATAACGTCAGTGTGTACGCGTGCGCGCTTCCTCTCCAGGGGAAATGTGAGCCATTCACTGCTTCACATTAAACCATGTAAAAAGCAGCTGGTTTTGCTGGACATCACCAAGACCACATTAATACTTCAACACTGATCCCCCATAGGGGCTGCGAGGGAGGAAACGTGCACAGTTGGCAGTTGATTTAAGTCAGCGTGACGGCTGTGCAGCCTGTTCCCAGAGCAGCAGACACATGAACCAAGCCCGAACTCCGGGCCTTCATTCAGACACAAGCACACACAGCTTCAGATGCCTGCACGCATGTTTCAGAGCTCGCTTCAACTTTATTTTACAAAAAATGCACAGAGCTCATCAGTCACCGTTTGTTCCAGCCTGTCCACATGCTCCAGGACAGCAACACACAGAGTAGAAAACACCCTTTACAAAAGTTTTACATGTGAAAGTTCAATCTGGTCACAACTAGTTTTTACAGTACATAGAAAACAAAACACTGGTTTGGTAAAAAAAAAAAAGGGTAAAAACTTCACACAGAATATTTGTTCCTTTTCATTAACCAGCTGAAGTGAAGATTAATCCCCCTCAGATCCTCTCACACTGTTTATTTTTCTAAAGTTGAGTGATTTGTTGGTTTACTGTTCATTGTCGACCTGCACTGCAGTTTCCCACCTTTCTCAGAATGCCTTTCTGTTGTGCAAACAAACAAACAGAAACAGCGCAAAGCTTCATTCTGTCTGTCGGAAGCTCGATTTGATGAAACTGAGGCTGATGGCGCATTTCAATGTGAACATCGTGTGTGAGCTGAATGTGGATGTGATTAAAGCTGCTGAGGCCCCTTGTGCTTTTCCTGCTCTCACACTGTGGCCCAGCGTTCAAGGATTTCAGGGGGATTTTCCTTTAATACTTATGCCCTCTGGCCCTTTGGAATGAGATCATGTTCTGTTCTTCTTTGGTGGCTGCTCTTCAGATGCTCTGGTGACAGTGGACATCTCTTTCCTCTCCTCTGTAGTTTTACTGACTCTGGTTCATCTTCCTGCTGGAGCGGCTCTTGATCACCTTCTGGAAAAGCTCGTCTGAAAACAAGAAACAGAAACAGTCAATTCTCCAGAACACTTCAGGGGTAGGATTGAGACAACTTGTTTCTGAGACACACTCACCATCCCTGAAGCTCCTGGAGTCACCCTGTGAGACACAAACAAGAATTCAGAGGTTTAAATAATTTTCTTGATGAAATGTGAAACCTGCAGCTTTTGTTGTGATGATCACCATCCATGTCCACCGGATGTGTCCCTGCCGTGCTGCCTCGTTTTGTCTGCGTCAGCGACTCTGACGTTTGTTTCCAATGTCTAAAGGTGTTTCCAACACTGGATGGGAGCTAACATGCAGACGAGAGGACAGAGGAGCTGATCAGCGCATGTTCATGATGAACATCTGGGCTAATTTTGCTCCTCAGACTTGTTATGAGAGGTTTTTAATGTGAGAGCAAGACCTGCAGACAACACTCAGGGCTGAAACAAGTACAAATACCTCATCTCCAGGTTCAGGATTTAAAAAAAAAAACGAATTTCTGATTTACAGGCCTGTGAAAAGTTACAGAGATGAAGGAGATGGTAAAAGACGAGGTGGCAAAGCACAGAAATGTCTGATTTTAAATACTGCCACAGGTTTTGTTTTTACATGGACATGAGCAGAAAAGTTTCTGTACATGCAGATCCGGTGTTTGTGTGCCACTGTGAACCTTCCTCAACACATCAGGCAGTCATGTGCAGCAGTTAAAGACCAAGGTGTGACGCTGACACATCCAGTGGACATGAGGGTTTCCAGCAGCTGATCAGGGCCCAGTGCAGCAGGTGGTCACTGCTCTACGTGGTCTCACCCTGGGGGAGGCCGCTCTGAGAGGAGTTGCATGTCCGTCGGCCTGCTCTCTGTCCACCTTCGGAGCTGCAGACACAACATAGGACCGTTAGTAAAGAGTTACGCAACTTTACAGTGTCCACAGGAGCAATCGTTAGGCCTCAGACCGGAGGCGGCTCTGCAGAACCTCAGTCAGAGAGAGCCAGCAGTGAGAACAAGAGAGCGAGCATCCCTGTCGCCACCAGTCTGGCTGAGAGTTTGACAGCATGTCTTTATTTTCTCAGTTGGTCCAAAACATAATCTATCAGGGAGACCGGATTATTAGCAGCAGGCTGTTTGCACGCACTGTACATAACACTGTAGTTAGGGCGCCAAAAGTAGCATTTTAGTTTGCTGTTAATACTCCAGCATGTCTACTACTGTCCTATAACGTCTGATAGTACATCAGTATCTCTTTATTTTCTTATGATCCGAAACCTAATCTAGTGAATTTCCCAGAGATCTGAGAGCTACCCACCAAGAGTCGGGGTCTGTCGGAGGTTTCTTCTGTTAAAGGGGGCTTGTTGGGTTTTTCCTCTATTATAATAATAATAAGGTCTAGACCTGACTATGTAAAGTGTCCTGGGATGCCTTTTTGGGATTTGGCGCTATACAAATAAAACTCAAATGTATTTATCTTAGACAAACTGCCTTCATACCATTGTAGACTTATGTCACCCAGCTCATATTCAGTCATAACCTCAGATCACATGACACACACACACGCTCGGACACAAAGCGCATGTGTTTTCTGCCCCAGCCACCTGGAACAATGCTAATGAAACTGATGCATTCCTGTTCTGTCTGCTCTTGTTTTTAGCTCTTAATTGTAGTTTTGATATTGTTGCATAGTCACTTTGTTCTTAGCTTTGTAGATTTTGGACATTATTATCTGTTTGAATGTTGCGGCTCGCCTGTGCTGCCGTCTCAGCCAGGAAACCCCTGTGAAAGAGGTCGCTGACCCCAGTGGAGTTTGGCCTGGTCAAATATTGGTTACATAAAATAAATTATATACACATTGTTCTGTGTACCTAAATAAATCGTCAGCAGGGTGATCTGTGTCCACAGAGACACTGAGGCTGGTGAATGTAAAGGAAGCAGGCACTCACGCAGAGGTTTGATGATACTGTTGACGGCATGGACAACTCCGTTCGTCGCCATCAGGTCTGCTTCCGCCACAGGAACCTTGTTGACGTACACTGTGTAGTTGTGCTGAGACAAGGGAGGACAGCTGTCATCTGTACTGCTCTGTAGTGTTTCAATAAAGGTATTTCAAATGAATGGAGGGGGGACTGACCACGCCGAGCTCCAGCCTCTCCCCCTGCAGAACTTCGACCCTAGTGTGAGATCCAACTCCTCCGCTCACCAACAGTCCTTGTCCCAGGTGATACCTGAGCACACCTGACAGCTGCTGACGATCACCTAAGACAGAGGAGACACATGGAGAGTTCACACTCCTCACAGCTGCAGATCAAGCAACACCATCCCCTGCCTGGTATTCCTTCAAACTATCATACACACTTTGTCCTGTTCCGGTGCCAATGTCTCTACGTGTCACTCACTCACGCACTGT